AACCCCCGACTGCCGTTCCGCAGGCAGTGTGACCACCACCACCAACCATCACCCTCCACCATGAACCATCATCACCAGCAGCAACTTCGCTGCAAGTCTCCGCAAAGTCGTTGTCACCATCCTCAGGATCGCCGTCATCATCGCCACCATGATGATGATGATCATCATCATCATCAAGTCTGCTCCCCCTCCCCTTCGGATAAGTCGGTCAGGCGGGTGGTGACATACACGGAGGTTGGCTGTGGTAGCCGCGTTGGGGTTGATGAGTTCGGCTCCTCATGACTACTCTTCGTCATGTGCACCAGCATGATCATCATCATCATCATCATCATCATCATCATCATCATCATCACCACCACCACCACCACCACCACCACCATCACCATCATCATCATCATCATCATCATCATCATCATCATCATCATCATCATCATCATCATCATCATCATCATCATCAACAGCTTCACCATCACCATCACCAACATCATAATCATCATCACCAGCATCATCAGCATCATCATCATCATCATCATCATCATCATCATCATCATCAACACCATCACCATCACCATCTCCATCACCATCAGCATCACCATCATCATGAACATAATCATCAACAAGACTACCTTCATCGTCGTCGTCATTGTCAACGACATTGTTGACATCACCATCACCACCATCAACAGCGTTCCTAACATCAGAGAGAGCGTGATCCACCGCCGCTTTACTGCGGAAAATTCCCCACCCTCTTCCTCCGGAACCCGGGGGTCCCCCCTTTGAAAATCACTTTCCCCCCCCTGCTGGACCCCTCCCCCCACCCACCCTTCCCCCCGGCGACCCCCCCCCCCCTCCCCTACCCCCCCAACCCTCCTCCGGAAAACCGGGAGGGGTCATTATTGGTTCGACCCCCCCCCTCCCGAAAACCGAGGGGGGTCACTACCGGTTCGAACCCCCCTCCAAAAAACCAGAGGGAGGTCACTACCGGTTCGAACCCCTCCCCCCCTCCAGAAAACCGGGGGGGTCACTACCGGTTCGAACCCCACCCCTCGAAAACTGGGGGGGGGGTCGGCATACCAGTTCGAACACCCCCCCCGCCGACTCGAAAACCGGGGGGGCCACTACCTGTTCGAATCCCCCCCCCCCTCTCCCCTCGAAAACCGCGGGGGGTCACTGCCGGTTCGAACCCCTCCCCGCCCCCCCACCCCCCCCCCCCCCCCCGCCTCTCCCACGCGCACCGCCAGCAAACGACCCCTGGGTCCCTACCACCGTCCGCACCACATCCCCCACTGCTGTCCCCAGCACCACTGTCCTCACCACCACTGTCCCCGCTGTTCCCACCACCGTCCCCACTGTCCCCACCAGTGCCCCCACCGCTGTCGCACTGTCCCCACTGTCCCCACCACTGTTCCCACCACGGTTCCACTCTCCCCACTTTCTCCACGGCCCCAACCACTGTCCCACTGTCCCCACTGTCCCACTGTCCCCGCCGCTGTCCCACTGAGCTGTCCCACTGTTCCCACCACTGTCCCCACTGTCCCCACCACTGTCCCCACTGTGCCTCTGTCCCATTATCCCACCGCCGTCCTCGCCACCGCCTCACCACTGTCCCCACCACCACTGTACCCTCCACTGTCCCACTGTTTCCACCACATTCCCACTGTCCCCACACCACTGTCCCCACCATCACCGTCCGCACCACTGTCCCACTGTCCCCACTGTTCCCACCATTGTCCCCGCTGTCCCCACCAGTGCCCCCACCAGTGTCTCAATGTCCCCACTCTCCCCACCATTGTCCCACCATGGACCCACTCTCCCCACTTTCCCCACGGCCCCCACCACTGTCCCACTGTACCCACCACTGTCCCACTGTCCCCGCCGCTGTCCCACTGTGCTGTCCCACCGTCCCCACTGTCCCCATCACTGTCCAACTGTCCCCACTGTCCCCACCATTTTCCCCACTGTACTACTGTCCCACCACTGTCCTCACCACCGCCTTCACCACTGTCCCCACCACTACCGTCCCCACCACTGTCCCACTGTCCCCGCCACTGTCCCGCTGTCCCCTCACCACTGCCCCCACCACCACCGTCCCCACCACTGTCCGCACCACTGTCCGCACCACTGTCCCAGTGTCCCCGCACCGAAGTCCCCACCACCACCGTTCCCACCACTGTCCCAGCATCCCCACCAGTGTCCAACTGTCCCGAGGAGAGGGAATCGTTTGCCGGCGGCGAGGGGGGGGGTTCGAACCGGTAGTGACCCCCCCCGGTTTTCGAGGAGGGGGCGGGGGGGGGTTCGAACCGGTAGTGACCCCCCCCGGTTTTCGAGCCGGGGGGGGTTCGAACCGGTAGTGACCCCCCCTTTTCATCTTTTCATGATGGACTGGGGGGGGAGGGGTTCGAACCGGTAGTGACCCCACACCGATTTTCCAGGGGCGGGGGGACGGGTTGGGAACCCCCAGTGACCCCCCCCGGTTTTCCGCCAGCAGCGGTAGAACACG